CTGTTATGGGTAATGCTGCATGGGGAGAGCATCTTTCCCTGCTTTCATACATGGATTTTATGCAGTCACAGTGGGATCGGGACTCTCCCCCCTCACACCCAGACCCTGCATTGCCCTCTCCTGCCTGGAAAAATATGTAACCCGCCATACCCCGTTTCCCAGATTTGCTGGATTAAAAAGGTTCAGGTGTATGTAACATTTGTATCAAGTGCCTTTGTCCCGGAGAAGAAATGGGCACTGCCAGGAAATGATGCTCCTATGACCGAGTTGGTCATGGCATACCTACACTTGGGGCAACGTGCACGTCAGAGAATAAAGATATCGATTCCCAAATCCATTCAGTGGTGTTGCACCATCATTAAACTGATGTAACAGGGTGGGCTATGGGGCCCATGCTCCCTGTTTCAAGTGGCTTCCAATCTGGGTAGATGTCAGCTCTCTTACATTTGAGGATGTGGGTTTTTTTTGTCTTCCCAAGTGTCAAAATACATTTTCCTTCTCCCCAAGTCAATGTTTATCCTTTCCAGAGTCACTGCTCCACCATAGATCTTTTTTTGCCTGTCGCTGTTCTCAAGAGAATCCTAGAAGGGACCTCGAGAGGTCATCAAGTCCAGTCCCCTGCCCTCCTGGCAGGACCAAGCACCATCTACATCAGTGGTCCCCAACACGGTGCCCGCGGGCGGCACGGCGACTGCGGGGGCATTTGTGTGTGCCCGCCAAGTGCTCGGGGCTGGCCTGGCCCCAGGCACATGGCACATGCATGGTGCCGGAGCCGGCCCCGGGTGCATGGTGCACGGTGAGCACCGGCCCCGGGAGCGCCACAGATTGGCTGTGCTGTGGGCGTGCGCCGCTTGGGGGGGGCGCTGGCCCCGGGAGCACAGCGCTTGCGGGGAGGGTGCTGGTTCCAGGCGCGCGGCGCTTGGGGGGGGCCCTGCCCCCAGGCACCCAAGTGTTCCCGCCCTCTGGCGCCCGGTGAGCAAACGGCCACGCCCCCTGGCACCCAGTAACCTCTAATGGTTGGGGACCACTGATCTACATCATCCCTGACAGGGGGCTGTCTAACACAGGGCTACTCAACTTTGGACGCCCCGGGGGGCGCAATGATACAGCACATGCCCAGAGCTGCAACTTAAGTGTGGTTTCACGTACATGCAAATATATATGCAAATAGCTTCTTTCACACTGATGGGCATGAATCCAAGATTAAGGCAAGACTATACCACATGCAGGCCCCATTTCAGTCAGTTCTGCTGATATTAATAAAATGCAAAAGTTACCCAATTTCCATCCATATAACAGCACTTTCAATGAGCAATGACAGTCCAGGAATTTAACTACTAAAAAGCTTCTCAACAGAAGACCCTTTTATTGACTACTGGTTTGTTTTGGCTCTGCAACAGTCCAGGAATTTAACTACTAAAACACATATCAACCCAAACTGCACCATAAACCCAAACGGCACCGCGGGCCACAAACAAATGGGCTGCGTGTTCAGTAGCCCTGGTCTTACCTGCTCTTAAATATCTCCAGTGATGGGGATTCCACAACCCATCTAGGGGAATCCTGTCTTACAACACCGCCAACCCCAAGCATTCAAACATTACAGATCAGGCTTCTAAAATCGTGAGTGGTAGAGGTAACAGATGTGCCATTCTTTTATTTGCTTTCTGGATTCTAATGCTTTAGGTGTCAAATTTTCAATCCGTGCAGCCGAGAGGGCTACCAACTTTATTGTAATCGTCTTTATTTTGTTTTTTAAATGTATCTCCTAATCCCATGACTCCAGGAGCTGGGTATTAAGAAGAACATCAACTATTATGAGAATCGTGATCAAATTGCTAGAGTCAACAACATTGCTCCTCTGATACAAATATGCACTAGGTGAAGATCGGCGTATATGGTAAAGGGCCCAGTTCTTCTCTCAAACACTTTCCGACTCCTGTTAACTTCAGTGGCATTGGGAAGGGATGTTTGAGGGGGGAATTTAGCCCATGTTCGGTTGTTTTTGCACAGCATCACCGTTTATGTCCATTCTTTTGAGGTTGAATTGCTAGCTCTGCAAGCATCCAGGCCCCGAAAAGTGTAGGGCTTTGTAGCTAAAAAAGTCAACCATATGAATTCCACCTGGACGCTTACAGGGAGCCAGTGCAGATCATGTAGCGTGGCTCTACCGTGTTTCCGATATTCAGCTCCACTTAAGTAGGCTGCTGCACTCTGCACCGTGACAGGCCCGAGACCTGTCGGCACACTCCAGCTGTGCCCCCTTTCCTGAGACTACTGGCGGTCACGCTCCTTTCATAAGACGCGGGATAGAGCTTCTGCCCACTTTTCCACTTGCTCTCACAGCCTAACAACATCTCAGCCTTGTCTAGACTGAGTCTCAGCCAGCCAGCTCTTATCCAAATCCCGAGTTCAGCCAAGCACTGGACAATTAATTGCTCGGCCTGGGTCAGATGTGATGGAGACGTAGAACTGGCTGCTGCCAGCATGTGGCAACCTATCGGATCACCCAATCATGCAGAGCAAAAGAGGTGGCAGTATGGATCCTTTGTGGGCACCAGAGTGGAGGACCAATTGTCCACAGTTACTCATTGGGGTCTCTCAGAAAGACAGGAATAGAGCGACTGATTTCACTCTGCTAGTGTCTGCAATTGAATCTCCCGGTCAGTTGCACCTACAGCTGTCTACAGTTCTGCAAGAATCCAGGTGGACAGTTTTATATAATATTGTTCTACAGTTAATCTTGCAGAAAGAGAGAAGGTTGGCACCGGTACAGTAGTAACCCAGTACTAGAACGCAGCTGGGACAGAAAGTGAGGCCTCGTTCTGCATAACACGACCACGTTTATTACTGTGTTTGGCCTCTGTATGGGGACTTTCGTAATTAAAATGCTTTTGAGACCGGGAGGCTTAGTCTGAGCACAGGAGGGGAAATAGCGAACCCCCGCGTTCTGTCTTCCGCTGCGTCACGGACACAGGTCCTTGGACGAGCTTTGCTCTGCATCTCAGCTTTCCAGTTTGAATACGGGAATATTTAATACTTCAGTTGCCTGACGTTGTGCTGTCAATTGATGAGTGACCTCCCAGACACCCCCTCCTCGTGGTGGTCGGTAGAAATGAAGCCTTGTGCTAAAAAGAAAGGTGGCGTGGGAGTGAAGAGATCCAGAACAAATAGAAAAGAACACGACAAGTATTCCTTTTCTGGTGTCTGTATGGTCTAGAACATGTACTACAGTGGAGCTATTTTTCATGCACACTTTGGTCTAGATCCAACTTCCATTGAAAAATTAGACCGAAAAGACTCCCATCTATTGCATGGGCTGGGGGAGAGCATTCGGGACTTTTAATAGTAATGAAAACTAGGAATGTAAGTGACTAGTTGACTATCCGATAAGCAAAAGCTTATTGGATAGTTGACTAGTCCGTCAACTAGTCGCTTCTGCCTCCCCTTTGCTGCCTGTATCAGAGGCAGCAGGGGAGGAGCAGGAGCCAGTGCTGGGGGGAACTGGCTTGAAAGCCTGTTTCCCTCAGCCCTGGCTCTGAGGTGGTGCCTGCCCCTCCCCGCACGCTGCTGCCTCTGTCAGTTCCCCCTGGGCAGCAGCCCCTGTCCACACGGGGAGGTGGCGCCTCCCCCTCCCCGCCCGCTGCTGCTTCTGTCAGTTCTCCCTGGGCAGCAGCCCCTGTCCACACGGGGAGGTCTGAGCTCCCCATGGACAGAGGTTGCTCTGCCTCCCCACAGAGCAGCCTCTGTTCATGGGGAGCCTGGGCCCACCATGGACAGAGACTGCTCCCTGCCAGCCGTTCCCGTCCTCAGCTAGCCCTGGTCGCTGGGGATAG